TGATTGGACATGAGCCTCGACATGACACGTATAAAGTCACGGGAAAACGGCCTACATTGAAAATTACTTAATTAAACAATACAACAAGGTTGTTCATAACTTAATGGAAGAGGTCAACCGCAAAGTCCGTGAACTCGCATTTGGCAAAGCATAGAATGAACTCAACAATATCAGAGCTTCATGTGAGAGTAAGCTGCCAGAATGACATAAAACAGATGTTTAATTTATTTACATTATTTTTGGACACTTAATTTTGAGTCACTATTTTTTGCTCGTTCCACCCTTTATATAGTGCATCTTTCCAACCATTGCGCAGTCGGAAAAAATCGACACAAAAGGAGCAAAATTCATTATCTCTGATCAGCGCTGATTTAAACTTTGCAAATATAATCATTCTTATGGGAAAAAGTCTCAGGAATCCAGTGGAAATAGTTTCGTCCTGTGCAGAATAGGGCAAGTTGGGATTTTTGGAGCATTTTACTCAAATTCCTTTAAATTTTGTATAAATGACTTTAAAAAAAACCTCACTGTGGTTAATATACGTTCTGAAATAGAGTTACTTTTGTAGAAGAACATCTGGAGAATCCATTAAAAATGGTTTCATACATCACAAGTCTATGCATTTTAGTCAATTTAACCCCTATTACCTACTTGAAGGAAAACACCTTAGGTATCAAAAAAATTACGTTTTAGATTACATCGAAAGGTAAGCTGATGTATGGAGCCATTTGTTTCCAAATTCTCCCCTATTTATGAAATTAATCAGTAGTGTTATACGGTTATACTATACCCTCGTGTACTGTTTTACTGTAAAAATGACTGAGGAATCGAATGGTGATGGTTTCATCTTGAGAAAATTTCAGTACATTACCCACTTTTACTGAAGAAAACAAGTAACATAGAAATACCTAATCTTACATGTGACGGAATCCATCTTTGACATAAAGGATTAGACGTAAACAAACATGTCATGTAAAATTAAGTGCTCCGAGACTGAAAAGCTTAAAAGTATTTACATAAATGTTTCTAGGTGTATACTTTTATACGAATTAAGGCCTGTTATTTTGATCGCACAGGCACTTTCCCGCTATAAAAATGTGTGAGGAATTTAATGATGATTGTCTCATTTTGTGCTGACATCAGCTTATTACCTTTTTTTCCCGATTATCCCATTTAATTTAATAAATCAAGTAGTATTCGAATTCACGCATGTAATATTGAATACTAATTTATTATATCATTGTTAATCATGTTTAAAACATCAAAAAATGCTTGTCTCGTTGCCCGATTCTCCCCTTTTATTGATGAAAAAAAATCATACGGTTATACGTCACACTCATATTGGACCCTCAAGCACTGTCCTACTGCATAGATCTAATGGTGATAATGCCATCTTAAGTGAACCTCACATACCGTAGAAATATCATTCAATAGCTTTATGTATCACATAAAATTAATTATTTCATAAGTTGCACACTCTGTGTTTCGTGTGTAAAGAAACAAACAACAATCAGTCAACTTTCAAAATATCAGCTACTTTCCAATTCAGTTCCGTTTCAACTGATCCTAGTAGGTAATTCCTTACAGAGTATCCCTAGTAGCACGCTTGCCACAAATCAATTGTAGAAACTTATATACGACTTATTTCAGTCATAAACAAATTGCTGTGACTTATTGCGATGAAAGTGTGCTACTCGGGATGTTCCTTATTGCTTATCTTTTTATCTATATCCCTCCAAACGATCAGTTATATGAATTAGTAAATAGAAAATACAAAGATATTGGATTTGATGAAAAATAATGAAAAATATTAACCTTGCTGACCAAATCGATTCTGTTTACGATGCGTGCAACGTGAAATCATATATTCATGCCTTACTCAAGGTTAAGACCTGACAATTTATCTTTTTTTTTATAGTGACAGGGTTAGGATGTAGAAAGTTGATATAAAACTCGATTTCTTTCCATATAAATTTTCTTAAATCATAAAATCAAAGTACTTGTTTAGGGCTTTCTACACCAAACTTATAATTAGTAACATCTCTAATACTTATTCTTCATCGTGGCTGTCACTATCACTATCACACATCAGAATCGTCATCATTGTTACAAGGTTCGCATTGAGGATTCATGAAATATTCTCTCATTTTGACTGAATGTTTCGTCAGAAGATCTTCTTCGTTTAGAACTGTGTGCCATAACCAATGTTCCGATCTTTAGGTCTGAATGAGTCAATGCAGACTTCATCAAATCTGACAAATTGACCTCTAGAGAAGATTTGCGAGCAAGATGGCGACAAACATATCTATAATTTTTGTGGCAAGATTCAAGCTTAATGCCAAGATCCAATCATCCACAAAACTCAAGGCAAAGGATTTAAAATAACCGAAATTATTTAGTTTATAATGCATAGATTAGTAACCAACCAATAACCAATCTTCCCAACTTATTCACGTATTCTGCTAAATGTTTGTATTTATCAACACATGGAGGTTGATTTCTTATAAACGGAAACTCTGTGCATACCAGCTCTTCTAAGATGTTGTACAACTCTGCTAACTTGTCCTTGTTCAAAAATTGGTTTGACAAGGGCAAACACCTTATCAAACGCAGGTTTCTCATCATATCAGCATCCACATTAAGAACTTCTGCAAACTTTTCTGGCTCAGAAAGTAGCCTTCTGGCCATGTTTCCATTATTGGAACTTCCACTACCTCCAATTTTCTACTTGATTTATTAAATTAAACGGGATAATCGGGAAAAATGGGTAATAAGCTTATGTCAGCATAAAATGAGACCATCACCATTAAATTCCTCAAACATTTTTACAGATGGAAGAAAGTGCCCGAACGATGAAAATAACAGCAAAATAAGCACAGTTTGGAATCCATTATTTATCATAAGTGACGTAGCTACATATTTACTTAGATCCAAGATTAGTAGCGATAGCGGTTAAGTAATCTGGCAATGAAAACTTAGCATAGTTTTGAACTATATTTTGAAATCAATCGCTTCTAGGAATAAAAAAATCACACATTTGTTGTAATATATTCTTACACACATATTGCAATTGTCAAAGAAGAAAAGGTTTTCCTCAAAGAAAAGCTCATGAAATGAAGAATGGTGAATTCTGTGATTTTTCATTCAATAAAAAAACATAACTGCTGCTTCCAGGATTTCCTGTCATACTTTTCGATACAACGATTCTGTTTTTGTTGTCATCAGAATGAAAACTAGCGGAACCGTCTGCTGATGTGAGGCAGCGATACTTCCATGAACAGTGACGAGTTGCTGAAACAAACAAGGAACTGTGGCAAACGTACCATCTGTAACGCAATACTTTGCCTGTCTTGAGTTCCAAAAACTAAGGCTCTTTCATTATTGACACCGAAGTCAGCAATCAATAGACGGTCCCCATTATCATCCTTCTGGAATTCATCGGGTAGATTATGCCTAACGTCCATGATGCCTAACGTCCTTTATGCCCAAACGTCCATTATGCCTATCGTACATTATGCCTAACATCCGTATGCCTAACGTCCGTATGCCTAACGACCGTATGCCTAACGTCGTGTACCCCAGTAAAACATACTTTGGCGAAACATGTATGTAAACAAACTTTGATAGAGTCATGGGGGCTCAGAGGTTTTGGCGGGAATCAACGAGCAAAACAGTTTCAAACTTAAGAAAATGTTCAAGCAGTTTTCCATTGGCTTGCAAAATGAAATCGAGCGACTCCGCAGTAGCCAGGAATGATCGTTTAGTTCAAAAGCTACAAAACAAGATCGATAAGAACGCATAATATGAATATTTATATTCATTCTTCCAAACACGAACGAAGCGCTCCTAGCGAACCCATTTTATCTGCCTTCATCCGTATGCCGATGTGAACTCAATGACGTTTCAACGTGTTTGGCCGGAATTGGGAGTCAAGAAGCAGTATTAGATTTTTAACAATATCTCGACAATGTGAGCCTCTTTCTTTATCAAATATTTCGGTACGAATGGAAAGGCAAATAAATAAATTTAGAAGTTTTCTTCGATAAAAACATTCTATTTTTGTTCAAACCCGTTCGAAAAGAAATAGGTAAAGGGCGGGTTGCGATACTAGGCACGGAATTTAGTTCTTAACCCTAGGTCAATGCATTTTTTTTATATGAACGGTGGCTAGAAGAATTGAAGGTACTAGTTTATTTCAAATCCAATGAAAAAAATGATCAAAACAACTTACATAAAAAAAACATAACTAAATACTTCGACAGTGAGAATGTAAAAGGGCGTAAACGCGATGATCGATTCTCTTCATCGATTTTCTCTTTGCATTGCTACAAATTGTTTGCTAAACGAAACAATTTTCTATAATTTGTTCTATTCAGAGTTGTAACAGGTTGTATTGGCTATCAAAAGCAACAGCAAACGCACCGAGAAATGATAATCCAAGCGTAACAACTCGCAAAAGAGAAAATCGACGAAGAGAATCAATCATTGCAATTAGGCCCTTATGAACGCTCACTGTTGAATTGTGCTTAAAGTTCAATCTTGCTTTGCTTTTGTTTCTCTAAACAGACCATACTAAAATAACGCTCATCTAATTAAGATATGTAAAAACATGCAATCTACACGCTTTTGCTTTTCGTCAAAACTAAGAAAGCAATAGATATTTATCTCCCCCGTCCTTGCACATTCATAATTTATACGCTTTCGCTTTTTATGTACATACAACATACCAACCATTTTCGGTTACCTTCCATCTTAATAGTGCAAGCTTTGTTCGTGGTCTCCAATGAGCCTTAGTTGTAGTGTTGCATTTTTGTAAAGCTGTACATATCTCATACATGTGTCATAAAATCATCATAAATTCAGGTTTTCGAAAAATCAAAGCTTCAACGAAGATAAATTTCGAAATCCTAAACTCCAGTCGCCATTGAAAATATCAGTTTCCATTCAACGATTTTCTCTCTATTCCCAACTCCCCAATTGAAAACCCCCTCTCCGCACAGGTTGTCGTCAATGCATTGGTACAGGCTATACCGTCCATCTTCAACGTGTTATTGGTTTGTTTGATCTTTTGGTTGATTTTCGCCATTATGGGTGTGCAGCTGTTTGCTGGCAAGTACTTTAAGGTGAGTTCGCTTCCATCTCTCCCTCGCTAGCACAAACATTGACACCCGTATCCCATATCCCTTCGCAGTGCGTCGACAAGAACAAGACGACGCTGTCGCACGAGATCATTCCGGATGTGAACGCGTGCATAGCGGAGAACTACACGTGGGAAAACTCGCCGATGAACTTCGACCACGTGGGGAAAGCGTACCTGTGTCTGTTCCAGGTGGCAACGTTCAAGGGCTGGATCCAGATCATGAACGATGCGATCGACTCGCGGGAGGTAGGTCCCGGTTCTACGTCCGGATGGATGATATTTTGAATCTCAATCCCGTTCCTTTCGTTGCAAACAGGTGGGCAAACAGCCGATTCGTGAGACCAACATCTACATGTACCTATACTTTGTGTTCTTCATCATCTTCGGATCGTTCTTCACCCTCAATCTGTTCATCGGTGTCATCATCGATAACTTCAACGAGCAGAAGAAGAAAGCCGGTGGATCGCTGGAGATGTTCATGACGGAGGATCAGAAAAAGTACTACAACGCGATGAAAAAGATGGGCTCCAAGAAGCCGCTGAAAGCTATTCCACGTCCTAGGGTAAGATTCGGCCTCGCCATTCTTCATTGTTGCCACTAGATGCGGTTAACCATTTGCTTTCATTTCCAGTGGAGACCACAAGCAATAGTATTCGAAATAGTTACCAATAAGAAGTTCGACATGATCATTATGTTGTTCATCGGGTTCAACATGGTGACGATGACGCTCGATCACTACAAACAGGCGGACACGTTCAGTGCGGTGCTCGACTATCTGAATATGATCTTTATCTGCATCTTCAGTAGCGAGTGTCTGATGAAGATATTCGCGCTGCGGTACCACTACTTCATCGAACCGTGGAATCTGTTCGATTTCGTCGTCGTCATCCTGTCCATTTTAGGTGAGTTTGTGGGCCAATCCATACGATCTGGTTGGTTGCGGAGTTTGTCATATAGTAGCGCTGTGATTAGGTCGAATTAGGTGACCTGAGGCCTTTAATCGAAATTTAAATTTCTGTCAAACTGCATAAGTATTATTCAATTTTGGGAGTCTACTCATTTTGCTAAATAAAATTTCCTGAGCTATTCAGGTTTTTCCAAGATACAAACTAAACATTTCCAGGCATTTAAAAAAATAAAACGTTATAAACTATGATATTTTTGGTAATACAAGAACTCAAGTGCCCCAACCCTTTTTTAACTTATTGTGCATGCGACTAAAAGCTGATGCGACGTTTTCGCTGGTAACACTTGAATTTACTATGTCAGTGGAGAAAAGTTAATGTTTAACATTTGTAAAACAAATGTATAGACATATACTTTAAATTATTAGAAAAATCAAGAAATTTTTTCATTGGTGTGAGGATGATTCTTTTTATGAATGTAAATTTGTACAATGGTACACAAAATGAATAATCATAACTTAAATTAATGATAATGAAATTATTACTGAATTTTGAACACATACATTTTTAGAAGAAATACTGAATATTACTTTATTTATTTATGACTAAACATCAACAGGCGTCATTGACCCCAATGATGTAACCTAAACTAAACACGAAAAGTACTAAAACTAAACATCAATAAGTCAACAGTCATCTCTTAAAAAAGGAACATTGCTAGACAAACTAAACTAATCTAGAAAAAAACAAACGTCAGGTTAATGTAAAATAGTGAGGAGACCCTATTGAAGAGTCTCTGTAAACCACTGATTGCGCTGAACATGCTATAATTAGTTCGCTGTATGGGCAGACGCAGCATTGAATTATTCCGTAGGGCTCTGGGTTGAACATTGATGTCAATTTGCTCAAGGAGAACATGGTAATCGGTTGTGTCCTTGCAAAATATTTGCAATTAGCAATGCCCTTGCTGTATATCTTCCGACCGACAGGGGCTCCAGATGGATCAATTGCAAACGACTTTCGTAGCTAAGCAACCGGAAGGGATCCATCCACGGCAGTTTACATAGCGCATATCTCAGGAACCGTCGCTGAACAGACTCAACTCTTTCGACACCGTTGTTGTAGTGAGAAGACCAGACAACCGAGCAGTATTCTAATATGGAGCGAGACAAGAAGCAGTACAACGATTTAAGGCAGTAGGTATAACCCTAGAATTCTGGAAGCTTTTTCGACGGCATACGAAACGTGCTGCTAGAAAGACGTGCTAGAATCACACCTAGGTCCTTTATTTGGCTGACGCGCTCAATGTCAGTGCCTAACAAAACATACTTGAACATAATAGCCTCTTTCTTGCGCGGAAAAAAGATAACCGAGCATTTGGACGGGTTAACCTCCATACGATTAAGAATACACCAATCAGCAAGAGCATTAAGCTGACGTTGAAGGAAGCAACAGTCTTCAATTGAGTGAATTCGAAGGAAGAGTTTAAGGTCATGTGCTTAAGATAATCGTGGTCCCTCAATTACCAGATTCACATCGCTCAAGTAAATCAGGAAAATCAGCGGTCCCAGGTAACTATCCTGGGGTATGCCGGATGTGGCAACGAACATACGGGACTGGTGATCACCAATGACCATAGAAAGATAGCGATCGGTGAGGTACGACTGAAAACCATTGCAAAAGGCAGTCGTGGATACCGAGCCTGTCCAGTTTTACGATTGATATGCGGTGATTCAATTTATCGAAGGCAGCAGATATGTCAGTATAAATGGCATCCGTCTGAGCAAGATCCGACATACTGTTAGAGATGTAGGGAGTAACCCAAGTAACCAAAAGTTCCGCATTCAACGATTAAAATCACTTCCAAAAGTTCAAATAAAGTTCCGACAGAAATTTCAAGTTCCATAAAGTTCAAATAAAGTTCCGACAGAACTTTCAAGCCACATGAAGCAATCCGCTCAAGTCTTTATTAGTAACAAAATGTAATGTACGTGAATATTAAATGATCGGGCCATTGATCATATAATCATAATCATAATTCTTATATGTATGCAGTGCATCAACATTCTATCCAAACATAAAAAAAAATTAAAAAGTAATTTCCTGGATTCGAACCCGTGTGTATTCGACATGCGATCTACGAACGCTAACCACTGCGCCACAAATGTGTTGGAATACCATGCGGACAAACACCAATTTAAAATTCATCAAGGTGTTGTGTTTCGTATTCAAGTCAGTCAGCTGGCACTGAAAACTCCAACAGTAGGCGGGACATCAGCTCACTTTATTATATCTCAGATGACGCAGCCGTTCGTGCTGGGGCTCTCACGCAAAAGGACTGAGTTTAATAATTCAAACAGCTCCAATTCTACTATTAATGCTGATAAATCAATACACATTAATACCTGCCTTTAGAAATAACTTTCATTAAAGTGCGAACTAAACATAGAATTGGTGAAGAGTACAAAAACCCTTTTTAATTTATTTTCTAAACGTTCCGTTCAAGTTCCGCCAGAAGCTGCTTAGAATGCTCTTCAACTCTTCAAGCGATATAACGACTTAAAAATGAGGCTGCTTAGAATTCTATAGACCACCACAAACCAAGCTGCTTAAGCCACAAATAGCCTTTTGTCAGAACTTTTGGTTACTTGGGAAGGCACACCATCTTGTCAACCCAGTCTTACGGTACTTACTTGTCATAGCAACATTTTGTGTGGACAGGTTGAAATAGAGGAGTGTAAAATCTTGAATGAACTGGTAATATGTCAAATCAACAGACATATAATTCTAGGAGTCGATAATTTGTAAAACTAAGTCCGATTTATCGAAAATTTTACAAAGTCTTAGAGGCAAAATTTTTTAAAAAAATATTGTTTTGAAAATTTGTCCAGGCTTCATTTCGATTTTAATGAAATAATTTAATAATAGGTATATAAATAATATCAATAATTAAATAATAATTTAAATACGTATATGTCATGAATACCAAAATTAAATTAAACTGAAAATTTCTTCAAGTTTGATTTCATTAGGTCCATGGTTTCTAAAAAAAAATAGTGTAAGTTTCAAATCTATATTTCCGCAATCATGTTCCAGAAAATTAAAAAAAAAACTCATTTCGAGCCCAAGGATCAGCCATTCCATAGCAAAACAATATAGTGGTTTTTAGAATTTCGAAAAAAAAATAATAGTTTTGTTGTTTATAGCAAAATATTAGACCCTTTTTTTTGTCATTAGAGTGACCATTTCCATGTTAGGGTGGTCCAAAAATCGTTTTTTTTTCAGAAATATATTTTTTAATTCATAATATCTTTTGAACCACTTGGCCGATTTCAAAGATCGAAATATCAAATGAAAGGTAATCAAAAATACTTTTTAGAAAAAAATATAATGGTATTAAAAATGGGGAAACAGTAACTAGGAAAGTAAAGATGGTTGTGTTGGTGTGCTTCAGTATATTCCTAATCGCCCTTTTTGCAATATAAAGCTGATATACGGCTGATAAAAAGTATGGAAGCCCTATATTAACCTTATATTGCACAAAGGGCGATTATCGGGCTGGGTGGTTACTTTGGTTCTATTCTTAAAAAAATACTTGATAAAGGTATTTAAAAATTCCTTTTCAGTCTCAACAAAATCAAAATACTGTTATTTTATTTTTTGTCCTGAGAGACGGGAAAACCATTCACAACACACATCAATTGCCAGTCGAACCATATAAAACATTTAAATATTCCCAGATAATTCCAGGTTTTTACAGGTAAAATAAAATTCCTTGAAGATTCCCGGTTTTCCAGTTTTTTTTTTGACGTAGGACTACGTCTGTGATTTCTATAAGGAGGTACACTTTGTGAAAACCGAAAATGGAACATGTAACAATAGTATGTAAGATTTTGAACGTTAATAACTCAGCTTCCCCTGGACCAATTTGAATAATTTTATCAGTAATCGATCAGAAATATTTCTACGCATCTGTTGAATTTAAGACATTATCAATTTTCAAAATATCACTATTGAAAATTGCACGAATGTGTATCTGTTACTATGATAATTAAAATTATCACCTGCGAAAAGCGATTTCCCTAACACAGATTTCAAAGTTGAATTCCATCCGGTCTCACCAAACGTAGTTTATTCAATCACCGCGTAGTGAGTGGTGGTATTCTCCAGTACACAACGAAAGGCTGCCTGCAAGCAGCGAGCTGCAGCCCACATGAGCATCCATAGTAGGGGGAAGAAGCCGCACCGCTATTGATCGGAATCAGTAGCTCTTCGTTATTCGCTGTGGACCATCTATGTCAAGCGCGTCATACTAAAGAGTACAAACAGAGAGAACCCCGCTCAAATTCCTATTCCTACACTAAACACAAGCTCCGGCTGCAGTTAACAAATAAGATTTATTATATAAGATCACGTAGTCCTACGTCGCCATTGCGTACAACCCCATAGGGCTGTCCCTTGTAGTTTTTTTTTAGGGTTCCTCTAATTGCTACGAAATTCGGTTGACTTCTACAAAGTTCTCAGAACTTCTATGAAGTTTGCTGCGCTCCTACAAAGTTCCCTGAATTTAAACAAACTTTCCTGAATTTCTACAAACATTAAAACCCAATGCAAATAAGCCACTAAATTAAATAAGCGATAAAAAAATACGTCAAGGTTTGTCTATGTTTTAAGTATCTTTAACTATCAATGTTTCTCAAAAACAAAAGAAGCGCTCCGACGGAATCCATTATTTCCATCATTCATTCCATGCATCAGTTTGTAAATAATTATATGAAATCATGAACGCTTTAAAATTTAAGTTTTGCTGCAATATCAGAAGTTCTGAAACAAGATACGATTGAAGTACAGGTTTTAATTTGTAGTTTGCTTGAAATATATTGTATAAGTAGGCTAAAAAGCCCTCCCTGTTTTATGCAGGCTTGATGGAGCCTCGCTCGTGAGTTTGAAATGAGCCGAGTGCAGCATTTTTCTGATGAGTAGAATGCCTACTGCCAAATCATTCCACTGAGCTTCAGAGCTTGTGAGCGAAGGGGGATAAAATGAGAGTGAGGTTTGCTGCCATTCATGTTCATGTTTTCTATCACACGCTCTTACTCTCACCCTGGGTGAACTCTGAACTTCTCGCACCTCACGTCAAATCATCCTCTCGCTGAAGTTCACTCTCTCTCTCTCGAGGAGTTTGTGTTTACTTCTTCCATATTCCGGCTTCCACTCACTCGAGGTAAGGGCTGGCTAAACTCGCAGGACAAGAGTGTTGTAAAACCTCCAGTGAGTTTGAGGAGTTCCAGCAAGCCTGGTTCTATGAAGTTCTACGAGGTTCCTCGAATTGCTACGTAATTCGCTTGACTTCTACAAAGTCCTCAAAATTCCTATTGCTGCACTTCTACAGTTCTAAAGTTCCCAGAACTTTTCAGAATTCCGTTGATTTTCTGATTCTGATTCCTGAACTAAAGAAGAAAGAAGCGCCCTGAAACTACAAGAAGCACTTTTATGAAGTTTCTTAAAATAAATCCAAGTTCCTATAACTTCAACGAAGTTTTCAAAACTTGTATAATGTTCCTAGTTTTACATAATTTTCCGAATTTAAAAAAAGCACCCCAAATATCATCAAAATTCTCTGAAGCTCTTCTAAGCATTCTGAATTTATATTAAATTTGCAGAATTTTTGATGTCCACTGAATATATAAAAAGTCCCTGAAATTTTAACATTCGAAAGAAGTTAATGAATAGATCCTGAACGTCAACGAAATTTCCTGAATTTCTGCGAATTTCGTTAAATTTATTTATAAATTCTTCAAAAAATTTTGAAGAAGTTCTACAAAGTTCTCCGAACTTATACAAAACTTGCTGAAGTTCAACAAAATTCTCTGAAGTGTTATAAAGTTTGCTGAGCTTGTAAAAAGTTAGCTGAATTTCTATAAAATTTGTTGCACTTCAAGTTTCCAAAGTTTTTGAAAGTTCTATGATGTTTCTTGAAGATCTATGAAGTTTCCTTGTACAACGTTCCTTTTACTATCAAGAAGTTCTCCGAGCTTCTACGAAGTTCTCATAAATAAAATGATGTTCCAAACTTTTACGAATTGCTCATGACTTATAAGAAAGTCTAAGGGATTCCCTTGAAATTTTCTTTGTAGCAGTTCAGAAATTATATGCAAAACAATCCTCACAAAAATCATGGAATTTATTCAAAGATTAACTATGATTTTTTTTAATGATTGTTCTTCTGGGAGATTCTTGCCAACTCTGGAAACTGTTAGGGTTAACTACCCCATTTCCGGCCTATTAAGCACAACCCGCACTTAGTCTTTCTAATCTAGCGCAGTTTAGCACCAAACGGAATGTTATTATTACTGATGACTTCCAAATGTATTCACCTTTCCGTACGTGCCGTAAGTTTTTATAAAGAGAAACTAATCGTTGAAATATTGTCAAGAGTCTAACACTGCTTCTTAACGCCAAACTCGGCCTACGGATTCTAAACTCAGCCAAACGCATTGAAACGCCATTGAAACGCCAATGAATTCACTTCGGCCTATCGGATGAAGATAAAACATGATTCGGTCGGAGCGCTTCTTTTGTTTTTGAGAATAATGGGTGCAAACCTTCATACCACGCATTCTAATTGACTTCGTTTGGTAGCTTGTTAACTAAAGTATAGTACCAAACGCATAATTGACTAGTTAACTCTGAAATCATGGATTTATTTGAAGTTTTCCGCTCGATAGGCCCAAAATGGGCGATTAGGCCGAAGTAGTTCTCTACCCTACTAACTTCCCTCAGGGGTTCTACTCTTCTCTAAACATTCTCTCGAAGTTTCATCCAATCGGTTCCAAACAAACGGTAATCAACTCTTCACTCTGTGCCGAAACACAGCATGGCCACTGTTTGGCACGTTAGGGCACACGTTGACAAGTAGAACACAAAAAATATAATGTAAAATGGCATCACTGTCGAGTGTTGGTGTTTTGCCAATCGTCGCTAAGGATGTATACTTTGTTTACTCCAATGTAACGCCCAATAAGTTCGAGGTTTGTGGCATGCCACTTTTCGAAAAACTGTAAGTACTTTCTGCACCATGAATCCTTTCAATCTAACAAAACTCAGTCCATCGAATCTGATTCGCTGCGAAAACCCCTGTGGCTTGTGGTTTTGTCCAGAAAAGGTGCTATTACAAGTTCTTCCACGCCATAGTTGATCGATAGGTTCTTTTCGATACGGCAGGCAAAGCGGCGTTAAAAAAGGATTACCTCCAACGAGGGTTGGTCAAACACCTAGAAGATCTGGTTGTCCAATACGACGAAAAACTTAATTTTGCACGTTGCAGTTTGCCTGTTGGTGTAAACAGGTTGGATCATGGAATAAACAAATCGGTAGACATTGAACGACAGCTAGGCACGTTCACTGTACGTATCGCTGAAGTGACGAAACTCTTCTAAACAGTGACTAAATTGTGCCGGCTGCAGAAGAATGTTTGAAGAAGTCTGTTTTCAACGGTTTTCGAGTAGACTTCCAGAAATAGTGTCTGTAAATAGATTCGAAGCCCTTGAAAATAATGCTTTTAGTTGCAGTGAATTTCTTATAGGTGGAGATTCCTGACACAGGTGCAAAGCACGTACAACAAAGCCATAACCGAAAATCAAATTTTGGAACGAAGGATAGGGCAGGATATTCTATGAGAGTCGAACTACATTTACAAGTTTGCTATGTAGAATGACTGATAAATGTACATCAGCCTAACGTACTTCAGCTTAATGACCCAGCAGCGAATAATCAATGAAGGCAAAAAGGTTATCATAGGGGTTTTCAGCCAGGTTCTAATACCGGTTTTGCCGAGGATCTTCCGGTATGGAATTTTTCTCGTTTCCCCTGAGTTTTTACTCATAAATATATTCTTGCTTGCTCATTCAGGCCTATTACTAAACGTGCAACACTCTTTGTCACTAGTGAGGTGACAAAAGTCATGTTGTTTGACGTGACTCTCCCAGGCCTATTCTACGAGCATGTGTGAATCTCCGTCACTAGTGAGGTGACTTTCCATTTTATTTGCACGAAGAGTCACCTCACTAGTTCAACTTGTTCTTCGCTGCAGAGTGATCGGTGTGCTCAGACGTTCCCGCTTGATGACCCTAAGCAATTTATTGTTTAGTAAGATCCTCGCAAGAGCCTATGAGTGTGCAGATGAACTGCAACTTCATCTTATAGCGGGGATGACTCTGAGTCCGCACTAGGTACTCGACGCGTCGATTACATGACCGTCATTCATCTTTCCGTCCGTTCGAGTTCATTGTTTATTTTAGTTGAAGAGGATTTCAAAGGATGCTGGTGGCATTTTCTTCCTCCATCGATCAGGCTACGACTTTGTTACTGAATTTAAGTGCAAGCAATCAGTTATTCAATTAGACATCGAGTCAGAATCTTGCGGAACGGTCGAGTTAGCTTGAATACCGTATAGGTTTGATAATTTGCAGTTTCTCTTCCAAACTCCCGTTCTGAAAATAAAAATTCAATCACAATCACAAATGTCATTATTACTCCAGGATTGCCAACCTCATGGAATATTGACACCTTGATTGGCACACTTTGGCCTACTTCGGCACGTTCAGCACAGCTAAATCACTCGGCACAGAATGAGGTTGAATACCCCTTGGCTCCAAAAGTACTATCACTTATCCTGGGTATTGATCTCCCGGATTATCTGGAAATTCTCTTGAATTTCTTGTAAACCTCTTCAGAAAAGTTTACAACAGCATCCACTTGAAATCAAGTCAGTTTTACAAAACCCCTTCCGCTCAGGCTGCGCCTCTGACTTTGATAATAAAAAAAGAAAACTACCAACTATTTGACAAACTCAGTAGGTCTTCCAATACGAACGTCCGAAACTTCCAACATTCCAACAGCTTATTCATCAATCAATTTCCCCCCTCTTCACCCACACCCGCAGGTCTCGTTCTTAGCGATCTCATTGAGAAGTACTTCGTCTCGCCCACACTGCTTCGAGTCGTCCGTGTGGCCAAGGTCGGTCGAGTCCTGCGTTTGGTCAAAGGTGCCAAGGGTATCCGAACACTGCTGTTCGCCCTGGCCATGTCCCTGCCGGCGCTGTTCAACATCTGTCTGCTGCTGTTTTTAGTCATGTTCATCTTTGCCATCTTCGGCATGTCGTTCTTCATGCACGTCAAGGACAAGAGCGGGCTGGACGATGTCTACAACTTCAAGACGTTCGGCCAGAGTATGATCCTGCTGTTTCAGGTGAGTTGGGTTAGGTTTAGTGGAAAGATTGATTCTATAGATTGGCTTGTTTACGCACAGATGTCTACGTCGGCCGGTTGGGATAGCGTGTTGGACGGTATCATCAACGAGGACGACTGCCTACCGCCGGACAACGACAAGGGCTATCCAGGAAACTGTGGCTCGGCGACGATCGGCATCACGTATCTGCTAGCATATCTTGTTATTAGTTTTTTGATCGTTATCAACATGTACATTGCTGTCATTCTCGAAAATTACTCGCAAGCCACGGAGGACGTGCAGGAGGGTCTAACGGATGACGACTACGACATGTACTACGAGATCTGGCAGCAGTTCGATCCGGACGGTACCCAGTACATCCGGCACGATCAGTTATCGGACTTTTTGGACGTGCTGGAACCGCCGCTGCAGATCCACAAGCCGAACAAGTACAAGATCATCTCGATGGACATACCGATCTGTCGGGGCGATATGATGTTCTGCGTAGACATTCTGGATGCGCTGACGAAGGATTTCTTCGCCCGGAAAGGTAATCCGATCGAAGAAACAGCCGAACTGGGCGAAGTCCAGCAAAGGCCGGATGAGGTGGGATATGAACCGGTATCTTCGACGCTGTGGCGCCAGCGCGAAGAGTACTGTGCCCGGCTGATACAGCACGCGTGGCGGAGGCACAAAGAGCGCAAATTAGAAGGAGGTGGCGGCGGTGACGACACCGACGCCGATGCCTGTGATAATGATGACGGTGGTGGTGATGATGATGGTAGTGCCGGTGGTGGAGCAACTAGTCCAGGAATAGGTAGTGGTAGTATCGTCGGTAGCGGCGGCGGTGGTGGAGGAGGAACAACGCCCGGCTCTGGCGGTGGAGGCGGAAGCGGTTCTCAGGCTAACTTAGGTATAGTAGTGGAGCACAATCTATCACCCAAGGAATCGCCAGATGGCAATAATGATCCTCAAGGCCGTCAAACGGCCGTCCTAGTAGAAAGTGATGGATTTGTAACTAAAAACGGTCACCGTGTCGTGATACACTCACGATCGCCGAGTATAACTTCACGATCGGCGGATGTCTGAGCCAGGCCTCGCCCCCCTCTCTCTGATTCAGATTCAGAAGCACGACAGAAATAATATTTAAGGGAAACATAAGAGTACTCTAAAAAACAAAACCGACAAAACATTTAAAAAACTATTCAATAATGAAAGGGAAAGCCAACTGCCATATAATAAATTTAATTATTTAAAAAATAACAAAACTTTAATCGCATAGGGACAAAATCCAGTGAACAAAACAACACACGAACACTCTCATTTGTAGACGAAATCAGCAAAACGAGGATCAAGTTCTGAACATCAACAACAACAACAACAACAACAGCAATCTCATTGAAAAGCGCGAAAAGAAGAACAACAACAAACTCAACTGGAAGAACGAGAATCACCGGATCGAACAACATCGAGTGAATCCGGAGGGAAGAAGAAGAACACGAAGAAACGCGATTTATTCTCCACTTCAGTTGCCGGGATCGTTAACCTTTCCGTTTTCCCTCTATCTCTATCACTCTATCCCAAACTTAAATCCACTTTAAGCACACACACACACACGAACAAACAAACCCCAATGTGCTCGTTTCAGTCTCGTATGGCCTCTCACCAACACTACTACCCACATCTGTTGAGTCAAATTTTAAGTTACCCGAACCGACGACGTGAACTAAAAAAAAAACTATACGAATTACACACACACACAAACACAAAAACACACACAAATGGTGCTGGGACCTTACGATCGGAGAAAACAAAAAATATAAACATTAATTAAGCAGTGTGAAACGGACAATATTACAAATAAAATGAAAACAAATGGTAGTGAAAGTGAACGAACAATAAACAAAGGACAAACAGAACAAAACCCAAAAGCAAAGCTGAGTGACAAACACGAAACTAGTGAACAAAGCAAACAAGTGAAAAGTGATGAACTGTGTAGTGAAGGCAGAACAAATGAAAATAAAAACATGTGTGTGATAAAAAATAGCGAATATTAAAACGAAACAAAAAACCAGAAGCAAACATGGAAAATCCAATATCAATAGACTCTCTTTTCTACGAGTGTGAACAATGTAAGCAAACGTGTAAAACGAAGAAGAAAACATCAGATTTCAACAAACCCGACGACGAGGAACAATATATTGTACATTTCAACCTTTCGGCCATTCAGGTATTCCCTTCGGTTACGAGACGCGTTATACTTTCCAAACTTGGTTTTATGGTTTCCTGACCAACAACAACAACAACAACAACAAAAACAACTAGTACTACTACTGCAACTATATAGCAATCACCACCACCACCACCAAGAATAATAACAACAACAACAACGGAGAACGGAGGCTAGCAGGAGAAACCATTACAGGAGTAAAGAAACCAAAGAACATTTAACATTCATCAAATTTCATCTGTCCAACGAACGTGTTTTTTCGAACACGACCAAAAGAAGAAGGAATGAAAAGCGGAGTAAAAATATGCGTTCAAAAAATTCTCGAATAAAAAAACAATCAAAGACAGAGAAAAAAACGGTTGAGTTGTAACAAAAGCGAATAGAGAGAACGAGCTGGGAAGCGAAACGTACACATACAAACACACATGTGAATAAAGTGAGATTACTAAAGAAGTAAATATATTATATTGGCTAAAGCAAGAACATACCGAGTCATCATGTGCATTTTTATTTTTTATTTTTCTATAAAGCAAATAAAAATGTAAAAAAAAAAATCACAAAAAAAATCAAACTTTCAAAAAACGGCATCGCTGCGATAATGTTAAGGCTTTTTATATAACTAATAAGAGAAAAATAAAAATCGCACAGGTTTTGTTCTACTATTGTAAAAAAAAACAACAACAACAAAAGAGGATTTATAAAAACAAAAAAGCGAAAACAACAAAAAGCTAAAAGAAAAATCATTATTAATATGTTTCTGCGTGCAATAAAAAAGAGAAAGTATTGTAATTATTATATAATACATTACTAATTTGTAAATCAAACGCGAGGGGTTGGGGCGAGCCTTTAATTAATAATAAAAAAAAAACAACACTAGTCAAGCTTTTCAAATATTATCATTAATGAATAACATAATAAATTAAATTAAAAATAGCAAACTAATTGTAAGTAAGTTAAGTAACAAATTTTTTGAACATTATCCCACGAAATGATGTTCGGTAAATCAAAACAAAGAAAAAGAAACAAAAACAAGTAAGCAAATAAACGCGATCTATTTTTTTTTTAAGCAAACACAGTAACACTGAAGCAAAACACATAACTCTCTCACGTACACACAAAGACACACACACACATACACTAGAAAGATAATCATTTTTCTTTCCTATCGTTACGAACATTTCCATCAAATTTAAAGAGAAACTTTTCCGTGCGCGTTTTTAACCCCGGGAGTCGAACGATTGCAACATAGACACATACACACACACACACACACATTCAAATTAGCGTCATATGCAACTATTCGGCTGTGTTCGTGCCATCGCGCCATCGTCGTCGTTTTACCTCTTCGCTTCGGGCATTGCCGCCATCAATGTTGTTGTTCCTTTTTCGCCTGCGCGCGCGTTCACTCACTCTCACACAGACACACACACACACACTCATGCACACATCATCCACCACCATCAGAGCGCGAGCATGCCCGAATAGTTGCCTCCGATCAGAAACGGAAACGATGCGCTCGCACGACTCCCCATCCGAATGCTTCTTTGTTAGTAATGACAGCCAGAAAAAAAATAAAACAAAAGCAAACCAAAAAAGAAAAGAGAAAAATGCGAAACAAAAGCAACCAAAAAAGAAGACAACCTTACATTTTTAGCTATATACATAAATTGTAAAAAACAAAACAAACAAAAAAAACAGAAAAGAAAAGAAGCTAAACAATAATTTAAATTTAAAGCTAATGGGCGTTTGTCAGTGGAGACACAAACGACCAACCAGAAGAGAAGCGCACGTAATTACACGATTCAAAGTAGCAAGAAGAAGAAGAGAGGAACGGGAGAGTAGCATGAGAGTATTTTTTTTACAAACAAAAAAGTTTATCTAATGAAGCCGGAGCAAATGGCGGAATAATGACAAAAAACAAAACTATTTTTAATTGGTATATTTTTTATCGATTATTGAGCAAACACACAGACACACATACATATTTAGTGAGAAAACAAAAAACGGTCGTGTGACACACAGACACACACAACACACACACATACTGTCAGACAGCAACTAGAAGAGGAAATAAATTCACAAAAAATATGATGTAGAAAAAGAAGACGAAGAAAGCAAACGCAAAACCGCAAATTGTAAATTACTTTTCACCACTTAGTTATAGCATTCGAAATGAAAGAGAGAGAGACAACAAACAAGCGATGAACAAAATGAGATGAGAGTAGCATTTGAGAATACATTGAAATAGTAGGAAAACAATGAGAGAGCGAGAGAATGGCAAATCGCACCTAAGGTTACATTTTTGTCATCCAAAAAAGAAAAAAATAGTAGCCGAGCAAGTTCAGTTCAATCTTGTAAAATGTGCTTAAGCAGAAGAACCATTGTAGAGGAGCACACGCGAACGTGACATGGAAACTGGAATAATAACGGAAACAGAAACAGAACCATACCAAAGATTTAACTATAAAGAGCGACTAGTTAGATAACAAACATAAAAATACCAAGCCGGATAGACCGAGAACGAATAGAACGTGAGATAGTGGAAACAAAAGAAAAGAGCGATAGAAGGAAGCATACAGACACACACACACCAACAGACATACATTTACACATTTTTATGCATCGTCGATAAGAAATTGTTTCTTGCCGCACTCTCTTGAAAGCGAACGGATCGATCGGAAGGGAACATAAAAAAAAAGAGAGACAAATACCAACGCAAAGGTAGAGAACAAAACGGAAATTTTGAGAACCTCGCTTGAAGCCAACGAAGCAATCCCCACGCCAACAATCTTCTCGTCGTTGTTGTCGTCGTCGTCGACGTCGTCGTCGTCGACGTCGTCGTCGCCACCATGCCGCATTAGGAACACACACACTCACACTCACACAAACTGAACCGCCGCGCAGCAGACGCCACTCATTCGTCCGTCTTTTTTGCACATACTTACACATACATACATACGAGAAAGAAAAAAAAAATATTATAACGCTAGTACTCACACCGACGCATGCTTATTAATTAACGTAAATGAGTGACGAGATCCCCGCGCGGGCACTCACGCTCCCAAAAGAAGCAAACACACAAGTAATGCGCGAATATACATTTATACTTAAAGAGGAAGAGTGTAAAAATCTTAACCAAAACAAATGTAATGACAAACAAATGCTTATAAAGTAAAAACAAAAAATATTAAAGTTAAAGTAAACAAACAAACAAAAAAAAAATGACGGGAGCGCCGATCCCCTTTGTCCACAAAGAAACAACAATTTCAGTGCCTTTTTTCAAGAGTGTATGAAGGAAAACAAACAGTTTAAGAAAAATTTAAGCAAAAAAAAAGATTACATAGGATGCAGTAAATTTAATTTGCGAGTGTATAATTGTAACAAGTTAAAAGGGTAACGCGTTACGCAAATCGAAACAGATGTGTCGCGCGCATAACACAAAACGAGCCACCCAAGAGATCCCCGAAAACGAGCAAAAGTAGCCGTGAGTTCCGCGACGCGCCCACACACACACACACAAACACCCCCTCCACTCACGCGCTAGCTAGTTTCTCTTAGTTTTAGCTTTAGCTTAGTAGTGAGCCAAAATCCAAAAACTTATCGTCTCTAGATGTTTTTCGCTCGACAAAAAAGAAATTCCCTTATTGTTGTTTGCTTCGCCAACGCCAACAACGTTTACCATTTGCTTATTACGGAGCACGGAACGCTAGAGGAAAAGCAAAATCAAACCAAAACGAACCATTAGAGCGGGCTAGAGAGCTAACTAACAAATTAATCGCAATCAATGAGAAGATATTTAATATAATGCTTTATAATGAAACACAAAACAAAAACAGGAGAGTTATAATAAGCGGAACAATGTTAGCAACACAGCGTTGAAACGTTGAACAAGCTATTTAAATCAATCGAAAGGCTTCAAGCGGGGTTCGGATGCGTTTTGCAGGAAGGAAGGAAAGAAGGAAGGAAGGAACGAAGGAAGGAAGGAAGTGCAACGCCGAGTGATGCGAGTGTTCGCGGTGAGTGCCACCACAGTTTGGGCGATTGGCGCTGGTTCGAGGATTCCATCAACGCGCGTTCCAACGTTCGCGAGAGTGAGAGCAGCGAACAAATTCTCTCTCGTGAGAGAAGTGTTTGGCTCACTTGAGCTACTTTTTCCATTCGGAATATTGGAAAGGAGCTAGATTACATTTTGTGCTTGTTTTGACTGGCTCAGGGCGAAAAGTTTTTGACTGTTTGAGAAAACACCGCACCGAGGCGCTTAACACATAAGTGACACAGGAAGAAGAAGCGTTAGTTTGTTGACGAAAATGAACTATGAGCATTTCGTATGGCAAGTTTTGCTGTAAGAAATGATCCTTTTGTTTATTCGCGAATTTCACAAAAAATACTCTTGCGTAAGAAATCAATTTGGAAAGGCATTTGTGACCAGTACACACTTTCCGGTCGTATGAAACAGGTGCAAATCGGTCCAAATTCGTCCGTTTCTTTTTTCTTCTAGGCATTTGTTATGGCAAAATAGTGAACTCTAGAGTAACATGTCCAAAACGTAAACAAACCAGAAAATTCATTTAAATTTTTCCGCCACTATTCAATTCATATTTAAGGGAATTGATGGCTAATGGATCGATGGAATAGTAACTGTATCTCAGTATACAACATCCAAAATATGCGAAAAGCTTTCAAAAATATATGAAAATCGATAACAATTTAATTTTATAAATTAATAATCCTTGTTGTGAATCTTTCAATGGATAGGCCCTTTTTGTTAAGCCGTTGTGCTTGTCAGAAGAAATGGTACGCCCTTTGCTCAGCCTTTTTGCAACGTCAAATAAATTCAAAACAAATCATCGGCCCTGTCTCAAGCAGTAGGGGCCTAGCTTTGGTTTGAAAATTTTCAATCATCGGTCCTTCTACGTCACTAGGCTTATCAATGAAATTAAATAAATGAATGGTTGGCCGTTTTAGCGTGAATGAATCGAAAAATTTCGGTGATCGGCCGTTGCTAAAATCGAGTTATTTTTAATGATTTTTCTCGATTATGCGGAGCTTTCCTACACGATTAGTAGCTATCAAGCGGTGCTAAAGAATGGTATCAAAGCCCGATTAGGCATTTGTGACCATCATACTCCTTCCGACGGTATGAAACAGGTTCAAACCTGTCCAAATCCGCCGGTAAATTTGTTTGTTATGGCACTGTTTATGGGAAAAATAGTGATCTTTCAACCGCCTGGGGCGTCTCCTGGATCTGGTTTTCTGTGGTTCTGATAGCAATATTGTAGATAACGAGCATTGCTGACAATTGATTTGTATCATCCTCCGCTTCTATTCTCCTTGCCAACTCAATCAGATTGTGATGTCCGTGTGGAATCTCTTGATGCTGGTCAACAACTGCTCGACTTCTCAAAATTCGATTTCGTCATGCTCAACGAGTTCCTGTTAAACTGTGATTGGACCAGTACTGGCCCACCGATAACACTCCAAGACGAAAACCTCCTGTATCTCCTGTTTGGAGTTCTCCTCTCCTGCGGCTTTTGAAAGGCGATAAAAATTCCTGCCAGCGTAAACTTCGTCGGCATCGAACCTCTGAAACGAAACGCAACTTCACCGCGCTTGCAATGCTTATCGTAAGCTTAATTCGACCCTATACAAGTCGGATGTCTTACGTCCAATATACGTAGAATTACCAAGAGCTTCTGGAACTTTGTGAACTCCAAGCGTATTTCTTGGCGATTCGGAGTCTACTTCTATGCTCGATTCTTGTGATCTCTTTGCCCGCCACTACAGGTCTGTTTTTTTTCGGATTCAGTCGCCAATACAGATGAAGTGGAAAGAGCTGCTTGCAGTGTTCCTGAGGGTTTCATCGATCTGCGTACATTCGTGGCTAGCTCTATGGATGTCATCAAGGCTGTTAGTTGAGGAAATCGGTTTCACCGGGTCCTGATGGTGTATCTGCAATCATTTTTTTGCCGCTGTGTTGCTGATTTAGCTGCTTGCATCGTTACCGCTTCGTTGGACCAAGGAGTTCTTCCCGAAATATGGAGACATTCCTTTATGCTCCCTGTTTAAATATAAGAAGAGCTAACCACCGTGGTATAACAAGTCTTTCTGCAGTTTCAAAATTATTCGAGATCATTGTGAACGAAGGCTATCTTCTTTCGTGTCAAAAGCTACATCTCAGCAATGCAACACGGATTTATGCTAGGACGATCAGTTTCATCAAATATCAAGACCTTCATCCGCAAACCTAAACCACAATCGGGTAGAGGAGAATTTCCCCTACCTTTTCATTATGTTGGTTTGCCTTTGCGGACTTCGGTTCGCGAGAAAATGGCCTTACAAGGTTTGTTTACAAAATGGAGTTAAGGCCATTTCAATTGTTGTTCTTGATATATTGGAGTTCACCTCAACTTGTATAAATCACTTGCAAAACAGGGCTCAAGTACATACCGTATACTGATCTGATCGATTGCATCGATCATGGTACTCTTCTTTGGAAAATGTCTCATCTGGGAGTTTCGGATGGTTTGGTTGATTGGCTGAAATCATACCTTCCCAATAGATGTCTCCATGTCAAGCTGAATTCGTCACCTTTTGTTGCAACCTCCGGTGTTCCCCAAGGCAGCCATTTAGGACCATTGCTGTTCACAATCTTCTTCAACGATGTGACGCTCATCCTGCAGAGTGGTCGGCGTGATCTCAAACTATACAAGGACGCCGAAGATTGCCCTCAGCTCCAGGAAATGTTGGGCCAATTTGTTGACTGGTGCCACTTTAAAAAGCTCTCTCTCTCAGCATATCAAAATGTGTAGACATGACATTTCATCGCACAAGGACGCCAATCGTATTCGATTACTCAATTGATGGATTTGTACTCGAAAGAGTAGAACAAGTAAGCGACCTAGGTGTAATGTTGGACTCTAAGGTTACGTTTGACTTGCATCGTTCAATGGTAGTCACTAGGGCAAATCGTCAGCTTTGGCTCATATTAAGAATCTCAAGAGATTTTTCGGATTCGTCCTGCGCCCGATTCTTGAGACTGCATCTGTTGTTTAGATTCCTTGACAACTTTCCTGGAGCATTAGAATAGAACGTATTCCAAAAACATTCATTTGTCGAGCATTGAGGCAACTTCCTTGAAGAGATCCACTAAACTTACCTCCTGGTATTTGGACGCTTCGATGCGATTTTTGTTTTAGGACTTCATACAACATACTTTACTTACTTACTTATCCTGGTCCGACATCCCTCAGGATTGCACCTGCATCACAATGTTACGCCAATTCACTCGATCCGTGGCTGCTTGTCTCCAATTTCTTGACCGTCCCACACTTCCAAGATTCTGCTGCACTTGGTCTAACCACCTTGCTCGCTGTGCTCCTCTTCGTCTTGTACCGGCCGGATTCAAGGCAATTTTTTGCGGGATTGTTGTCCGGCATTCTTAAAACGTGTTCCGCCCATCGTACCCGTCCAGTTTTCGCAACTTTCTGGATACAGGGTTTGCCATAGAGTTGCGCCAGCTCGTGGTTCATCCTTCGCCTCCATACACCGTTCTCGCATACCCCGCCAAAGATGGTCCTAAGCACTCGTCGTTCGAAAATACCCAGTGCTTGCAGGTCCTCCTCGAGAATCGTCCACGTCTCGTGCCCGTAGAGAACTACCGGTCTTATCAGCGTCTTGTACACGGTACATTTAGTACGGAGTTGAAGTTTACCCGACCTCAGGGTCTTGTGGAGTCCGTAGTAAGCACGACTTCCGGCAATAATACGCCGACGAATTTCTCTGCTGCAGTTGTTATCCGACGAACTCATCCCCGTCGATTGTCACGGTTCTGCCTCCAGCTAACAGATACTTTGTCTTCGATGTATTCACCTTTAATCCAACCTTCTCTGCTTCACGTTTCAGCCTCTGGTGTACTGCTGCGCCACGGCCTGAAACGACAATTTCCGACAATGGTCTTACAACATCTGCATTTAATATTGGGTCGTGAGCTTATGAAATTTCTTTTTTTTAAATTTTCTTGAGGGCCTTTCGAAATAAAGTCTGCTGAATTCTCTCCAGGACCAACCCCATGATCCGGGCAGTAGAGGGTTAAATAGCGTTCTTTCGAGCCAAGGGGCAAGACAGCTTAGATATGTTTGAAAATATTATCAAATATTTCACCCTCTGTTTAGAGCATAGAATTCCAGATCATCACTCGGTCATCAGCTTCACGCAACATTCACGATTCCAAGCATCCGGGAGAACTGTTCATGCTTCTTGAGACTGAAAAGTTTTGTCATGCTGTCCGCAGCTAAATATTATGCAATTAGATAAAAATTATCTGAACGTCGCTCATTAATTGACTTCCAACGCGACTAGAAATAATGCAAAAGAAATGTAATTAGTGTCAACACTACCCAAAGTGTGAATGTCATGAATTATGTAAAGGTTGGAACTCAGGTCGGAAGTCTGAAGTCAGACTTCCGAACTTTAATTTGGTGCTGGCACCGTAGTATCTGTTGGATATTGAATGAATGAATGAACTTCTTACAACTAGTGAATGAACATCTCCTCGGTGTCGACATGTTTCATCCGACAACTGAATCTCTCGGACTTCACGAATGCCATGAATGTGAATGAACTTCGCGGTGAGGATTTCAGAGGCCCTTTTCAAACGTTGCTCTATTATTGTCTTACAAAAGCGATTGTCCTAATAAACGCGACATTAAAGGTTGGTGCTGGAAGGAGAGTGAAAACTGACTAGTCGAAAGTTGCCAACTCTCACGCTCTCTCATTCTGTTTTCGATTTCTCTTCGGTGGTGCCCGTTCGTAGAGAGTCTCTACCGAGACGGTTTCATTACAGCGTGAACGAATCTCTCACCCGGGTGCTGATTTTCAGAGAAAGTTTCATCCCTGCATGCGCATAAGCCGATTTGGACAATGCAACCAGACTTCTGAAACTCACAGGAGGTTAGCTAATAATCTTACTCTATGAGTGAACTTAAACCCAGCGAGAGAGGGAGAGGAAGAGCGAACTCAAGCGAGAGGATGATTTGACGTGAGGTGCCCTAATAAAAAATGTATGGTTATCTTGCTTAACGATGTGTTCGGGGTATCATCCAAACCATTTGTGAAAAAGTTCGACTACTTGGGTTATCGTTCGTTTATGGTATTTGGTTATTAGGGAGGCTCCAGATGACTTTTTTAAACGAAGCATTAGGTTCAGAATTCATCCTGGGTAAGAGCGTGTGAAAGAAAGCATGAAACAAGAATGAAAACTAACCTCACTCCCGTTGTATGCTTTCCCGCTCTCGGTGGAAAAAATTTGAAAATTATTCTACTACTCAGAGTAATGCTAAAACTCAACTCATTTCAAGCTGACTGAATTTGCGTAGGTGACTTTGTTTTAGAGTTCATCTACTTTAGACCTCTTTTTCGACCTTTCTTGCAGATAGGAGTAGTTGATTTGTTGATCTATGATCTATCAAATGTCATTATTAATGTCAATAGGACAGCTCACAAGCTGTTCAAAAATAGCAAACCTTGCCAACCTTGACTTCT